CGAACTCCTGAGCTTAGGCAATCCAGCTGCCTTGGCCTCCCAAAGTGTTAGGATTACAGGCGTGAGCCACTGCACCCAGCCTATTTTGGTGCATTCTCAGCTCACTGCAACCTCCGTCTCCCGGGTTCAAGTGATTCTCCTGCCTCAGCCTTCTGAGTAGCTGGGATTACAGGCACACACCACCATGCCCGGCTAATTTTTCTATTTTTAGTAGAGACAGGGTTTCACCATGTTGGCCAGGCTGGTCTTGAACTCCTGACCTCGTGATCCGCCTGCCTCGGCTTCCCAAGTAAAAAACTTTTTTTTCCACTTACTATTTTGGGGATATTTAAGTGAATCTGAAATTACTATTGGATTTTTTTTTTTTTTTTTTTTTTTGAGACAGAGTTTTGCTCTTGCTGCCCAGGCTGGAGTGCAATGGTGCAATCTTGGCTCGCAGCAACCTCCACCTCCCGGGTGCAAGTGATTCTCCTGCCTCAGCCTCCCAAGTAGCTAAGATTACAGGCGCCCGCCACCACGCCCGGCTAATTTTTTGTATTCTTAGTAGAGACGGGGTTTCATCATCTTGGCCAGGCTGGTCTAGAACTCCTGACCTCGTGATCCACTCGCCTTAGCCTCCCAAAGTGCTGGGATTATAGGCGTGAGTCACCATGCCCGGCCTATTGGGTTTTTAAAGAAAGATATTTAAGAACATTCTTTGCTAGAACTGAAGACAATTTAAACTGATTCCATTCAAAAAAACTTAGTGCAGAATGCAGACTTTCTCTTCCAAGTATATGTAAAAGTTAACTTCTTTTTTTTCCACCTGTGGAAGACAATGTACAATATAGTACTCTTCAGATACACTAATGAGGCCCTTTTTATACTTTAACAGGGATGTAAACATTTCCTTTTGTACCATAAATAAATTATGGGTTTCATTAAAAAAAGCCTATCCCCAAGAAATGTTCTGAGTGTTAATATAAGATTTCATTATTCTCGTAAGTAAACCTTTGAGTTCAAATAAAGTTTTGTGGGTTTTCTTTTTTTGAAAATTGAAGGTATATATAGGGGCTCAACCTAAATGCCAGGGAATTAACCCTCCATAGGAAGCAATCATATAATTCTAAGTCAGTAGATAATTGAATCGATGCAGGATTTTTAAGTATTCTCTCAACTATATTAAATGAATTGTTTTTCCAGTTTTCTAGTGGTCCAAAAACTTAAATAGGCTGCAAATCTGCTGTGATTCAAACTGTGCAATTCCTCACAGGCATCTCTGACTTGAGGAACTAAGTTCCTGTAATTATATGTCCTGAAATTAACTGGGTTGCCAGATAGGTTTTCTCAACCTTTAATAGCTCGTTGGAAGCCTTACAGAATGCTCTTTATTAGAAATATTTGGAACTACTTCCCCCTTTTTGGATGCTCAAATTAGTGTTTTTCTACTTCTCTGGCATAATTTGTATAGCTGCTTCCTTTGTAGAAAGTAAGCTTATGTTCTGCTTTTCCCCTTTTGGTTGGCTGGGGTGCTAGGTCACTCTTATCTGTGCTCTAGGAAACTTTTAGGTTTCTACTTAGCTTACGATGACACCCTGAAAGAGTTAGGGTCTGCTGCTGTTTGGGTTAGGGGGTAGATACTTGAATTCACTGGTCTTTTTTTGGTTCACTGCAGCCTTGACCTCCAGCACTCAAGGGATCCTTCCACTTCAGCCTCTAGAATAGCTGCGACTAATAGGTGAGCACTATGCTCACTAATTTTGTGTATGTATTGTAGAGACAAGGTCTTACTGTGTTCCCAGGCTGCTCTCGGACTCCTGGACTCAAGGGATCCTCCTTCTTCAGCCTCCCAAAGTGCTAGGATAACAGGCATGAGCCACCACGCCCGGCCAAATGGATTGTTTTTTATCACAGATGCTGCAATATGAATATGCATCTTCCTGCTATCCCTTCAAAAGTGAGAATTAATATTGTTTTCTTTTCTTTCTTTCTTTCTTTTCTTTTCTTTTTTTTTTTTTTTTGAGATGGAGTCTCTCTGTCGCCCAGGCTGGAGTGCAGTGGCGCAATCTTGGCCCACCACAACCTCCGCCTCCCAGGTTCAAGCAATTCTCCTGCCTCAGCCTCCTGAGTAGCTGGGATTAAGGGTATGCACCACCACCCCCAGCTAATTTTGTATTTTTAGTAGAGATGGGGTTTCTCCGTGTTAGTCAAGCTGGTCTCGAACTTCTGACCTCAGGTGATCTTCCTGTATCGGCCTCCCTAAGTTCTGGGATTACAAGTGTGAGCCACTGCGCCCAGCCCAAAAAAGACTTTATTTTTCAGAGTAGTTTTAGGTTCACGGCAAAACTGAGAAGGAAGTACAGAGAGGTCCCATATACAGATTTCCTGCCCCTTCACAGATGCATCCTTCCCCAGTATCAACATCCTGCACTAGAATGGTACATATGTTATCATCAATGAACCTACACTGACATATCATTATCAATCAAAGTCCATAGTTTACATTAGGATCCACTCTTGGTGGTGTACTTTCTGTAGGTTTGGAAAAGTATATAGCAACATGTATCCACCATTTTGGTATCATACAGAATAGTTTCACTACCCTAAAAATCCTCTATGCTCCGCCTATTCATTCCTCCCTCCCCCCCCCCCCCGGCAACCACCGAATTTTTTTTTTTTTTTTTTAACTTCTCCATAGTTTTGCCTTTTACAGACTGTCATAGAATTGGAATCATACCGTATGTAGACTTTTCATATTGGCTTCTTTCACTTAGCAATATGCATTTAGGGTTCCTCCATGTATTTTCATGGCTTGATAGCTCATTTCTTTTTAGCACTGAATAATACTTCATTGGATGTACCACAGTTTTATCTACTCACCTACTGAAGGACATCTTTCAGTTTTGGCAATTATGACTAAAACTGCTATAAACACCAGTGTGCAAGTTTTTGGGTGGATATAGTTTACAACTCATTTGGGTAAATACCCAAGAGCACAATTGCTGGATCATATGGTAAGGGTATATTTAATTTTGTAAGAAACTGCCAAATTATCTTCCAAAGTGGCTATACTATTTTGCATTCCTACCAGCAATCAATGACACTTCCTGTTGTTCCACATCCTTGCCAGTATTTGGAATTGTCAGTATTTTGGATTTCAGCCATTCTTTTTTTTTTTTTTTTTTTGAGATGGAATCTCTCTGTGTTGCCCCAGCTCTAGTGCAGTGGCACGATCTCAGCTCACTGCAACCTCCACCTCCTGGGTTCAAGCGATTCTCCTGCCTCAACCTCCCGAGTGGCTGGGATTACAGGCACGTATCACCACGCCCAACTAATTTTTTTTGTATTTTTAGTAAGAGACAGAGTTTCACCATGTTGGCCAGGGTAGTTTCAAACTCCTGACCTCAGGTGATCTGCCCACCTCAGCCTCCCAAAGTGCTGGGATTATAGGCGTGAGCTGCCATGCCTGGTCTAGCCATTCTAATAGACGTGTAGTGGTATCTCATTGTTTAGTTTTTTTGTTTTTGTTTTTTTTTGTTTTTTTTTTTTGCAGGGTCTTGCTCTGTCACCTAGCTGTAGTGCAGTGGTATGATCACGGCTCACTGGAGTCTCGACTTCCTGGGGTCAAGCGATTCTCCCACCTCAACCTTTGAAGTAACTGGGACTAGTCACCATCATGCTTTGTTGATTTTTAAGTTTTTTTTTTTGTAGAAATAGGGTTTCCCTGTGTTGCCCAGTTTGGTCTCAAACTCCTGGGCTCAAATGATCCTCCCACCTTGGCCTTCCAAGGTACTGGGATTACAGGCATGTACCACCACACCCATCCAATTTTTGTATTTTTAGTAGAGACGGAGTTTTCACCATGTTGGCCAGGCTGGTCTCAAACTCCTGACCTCAAATGATCCGTCCGCCTCGGCCTCCCAAAGTGCTGGGATTACAGGCGTGAGCCACTGCGCCTGGCTTTCTTTTCTTTTTTTTTTTTTCAAACCACTTTCTTTTACATATCCCTGGCTCCTAATTGCTTCTCTACTTTTTCTTACTGCTCCAGCTTCTAGATAAGTGGTTCTCAAGGTGTGGTCCTTCAACCAACAGCATCATCACCACCTAGGAACTTGTTAGAAATGGAAGTTCTTGCACCCTGCCAAAACCAGAAACTCTGGGGATGGGTCCCAGCAATCTTTATTTTAACAGCCCTCCAAGCAATTCTGATGCAAACTTAAGTTTGAAAACATTGTTATATTAAAAGTAATGGCAAAAATCGCAATTACTTTTGCACCAACCTAAGAGCTCTGCACTATTCAATATGGTAGCCTCTAACTATTGAATTTGTTTAATGCTATTATCTCCTTTATTCAAAAATAAATATTTCACTTTGATTCAACATATTTCAAATCACATTAAGCACAGAGAAGAAATACATTCCCTTTGGAGATTGTGAACACATGTTGGAAAGAGGCATGATCCAAACAATGGGGATGAGGTAAGTGCAGATTCCAGCTGCTTCCTGACCCAGAAGTTCCGCCCCTCTTCAGGTGGAGCTACTTATCAATTTTTAGGCGAGAAAAAGACACACACACACACAGACACACTGCTTTGAAGTCTGAAAGGCACATGAGTGGACCATAAGGTATATGGCACATTCACTGATGAAACATCCCCTATTCCCTCCCAAGAAAAGCAGAGACACTTTAATCAAGTCAAAGGCCAGAGAAGGGCCCGGTGCAGTGGCTCATGCCTGTATCCCAGCACTTTGGGAGGCTGAGGTGGGTGGATCCCGAGGTCAGGAGTTCGAGACCAGCCTGACCCATATGGTGAAACTCCATTTCTACTAAAAATACGAAACTCAGCTAGGCGTGGTGGCACGTGCCTGTAATCCCAGCTACTCAGGAGGTTGAGGCAGGAGAATCGCTTGAATCCAGAAGGTAGAGGTTGCAGTGAGCCGAGATTGCACCATTGCACTCCTGGGTGATAGAGCAAGACTGGGTGATAGTCTGGGTGATAGAGCGAGACTCCGTCTCAAAAAAGAAGAAGAAGGAAAAAAAAACAGAGAAGACAGGATGCTCCTGCTTATAGCTCAGCAGCATGAACATCTCTGAATATGAAAGCCATATTTCATTTGCTTCCACCTCCTGTGCCTCCTCTCCCTGCCAAACGGGTCTGCGGATGGCCGCGGTGCTCCCTTGTTGATGGTGGGGCGTGTGGCCATGTACACAAACACCACGATCAGGAGCACGACCGTGGCCAGCGTGGGCAGTGCCACCGTGGTGATCTGCTGCCGGGCCTCCTGCATGGCTTGCTTCTGCTCCTTCTTGTCTTTCCATGTCTCCTTCCTGGGCTTCCCTTTGAGGTGCTGCATCTTTCCTAGAAGATGCTGGGAGGGCGTGTCCAGAGGGATTCCAGGAAGGGCCACAATCCCCTTGTCAAGGCTGGAACCTCCTTTGATTCAATAATTTCGGCAAACTGATTTCCAGTACAGGTGACTTATTTGTTGTAACAGATCATGTCTTCAACATGCAACACTCTCAGATGATGCAGCTGGGCAAATGGATAACATCTTTACTGATCTTCAGCAGTCTGTCACTATTGAATTCTTATGTTTAGAATGAACTGAGATGGGCTATAAGTGTACGATACATCCTGGATTTCAAAGGCTTATTATGAAAACAGAGAAAGTAAAATATCTCACTGGTAATTTACATATTGATAGCATGAAAATTATATTTTCATATACTGAGTTAAATAAAATATTAATTTTACCTTTTTAAAAGTTTTTACATGAGATTACTAGAAAATTTTAAATTACATATATGGCTCTCATTATATTTTTCTTTTTTTTTTTTCTTTCTTTCTTTTTATTTTTTTAGAGATGGGTCTTACTATGTTGCCTAGGCTACATCTAACTCCCGGGCTGAAGCACATCCTCCCACCTCAGCCTTGCAAGTAACTGGGACTGCAGGCATGTTCCACTGTGCCTGGCTTCAGCTCTTATACTTCACGCCATTCTCCCGCCTCAGCCTCCCGAGTAGCTAGGACTACAGGCACCCACCATCACGCCTGGCTAATTTTGTTTTTGTATTTTTAGTAAAGACAGGGTTTCACTGTGTTAGCCAGGATGGTCTCTATTTCTTGACCTTGTGATCTGCCCACCTCAGCCTCCCAAAGAGCTAGGATTACAGGCGTGAGCCACCGTGCCCGGTCTTTTTTTTTTTTTTTTTTTTTTTTTTGAGACAGAGTCTCACTCTGTCACCCAGACTGGAGTGCAGTGGCCTGATCTCAGCTCACTGCAAGCTCCACCTCCCAGGTTCACGCCATTCTCCTGCCTGAGCCTCCTGAGTAGCTGGGAATACAGGCGTCCGCCACCACACCTGCCTAATTTTTTTGTATTTTCAGTACAGACAGGGTTTCACTGTGTTAGTCAGGATGGTCTCGATCTCCTGACCTCGTGATCCACCTCCCACGAGGAGGTGGGAGCCTCGGCCTCCCAAAGTGCTGGGATTACAGGCATGAGCCACCGTGCCCGGCCTTCTTTTCTTTTTTAAGAGACAGAGTCTCACTCTGTTACCCAGGCTGGAGTGTAATAGTGGATGTAATAGCTCACTACATCCTTGAACTACTGAGATCAAGCAATCCTCTTCCAGCCTCATTCTCCCCAGTAGCTAGGACTACAGGTGCACACCACCATGCCCAGCTGATTTTTAATTTTTTTTTTTGTAGAGATGATCTCTTGCCATGTTACCCAGGCTGTTCTTAAACTCCAGGGCTCAGGAGCTCCTCTCACTTTGGCCTCCCAAAATGCTGGGATTACAGGTGTGAACCACTGTACCCAACAGCTCTCATATTTCTAATGGACAGCATTGTTCTAGACCACAGGTCTGCAAACTACAGCCTGTGGGCCAAATCTGGCCTACCACCTGTTTTTGTACAGCCCATGAGCTAAGAATAGCTTTAATTTTTTAAGTGGTTGAAAATAATTTTTAAAAAGAATGATGTCCTGTGACATGTAAAAATTATATGAAATTCAAGTTTCATTGTTTATCAGTAAAGTTTTATTGGAACACAGGCACATTCAGTTGTTTGTTTATCATCTATGACTGCTTTTGCTTTACAGTGACAGAACTGAGTAGCTGTGATAAGGATGTGCAGTTTGAAAGTCTAAATATTTACTATCTGGCTCTTTATGGCAAATGTGTGCTGATCCCCGTTCTAGACCATCAGTTTTCATATGTTCCCTGGAAGAGGATCCTGCTTTTAACTTACTCCTATTTTTTTGTTTTCAATCTTTGCTTAGCTTTTAGGCCTAATTCCTTGATATGCCACTGCCTAAATCTCAGTGGTATTTTGGGGTTGCAAGAGCTGACCTATGCATTCTCTAGACTACAAAGAAGTCAGCCAAAAATGTTCTTGCCTTCCAAGAGCTGCACAGGAACCAGTGGATCTAGCAAGAGGGAACAGAGCGACGTTCAATAGCTTCTTTCTCCAAAGGTAGGGACTTCCTTCTCAGAGGACAAGCAAATCCAGGATTGATACTACATCAGACTGAGAGGGGAGCCTATGATTTAGGGCTGGCCAGTTTCTTTCACAGCTCAATGATACCTCTTTTTTTTTGGATGCAGAGTCTCGCACTGTTGCCCAAGCTGGAGTGCAGTTGCATGATCTTGGCTCACTGCAACCTTTGGCTCCCAGGTTCAGGCGATTCTCATGCCTCAGCCTCCCGAGTAACTGGGATTACAGGCATGCACTACCATACCCGGCTAATTTTTGTACTTTTAGTAGAGATGGGATTTCACTATGTTGGCCAGGCTGGTCTCGAACTCCTGGCCTCAAGTGATCCACCTGCCTCGGCCTCCCAAAGTGCTGCGATTACACAGGTGTGAGCCACTACGCCCGGCCAGCAACACCTCTGGAATTAAATCTTCTCTCTCTTCCTCTCTCCCTCTCTCTCTCTCTCTCGCTCTCACTTATGCTCACTCTCAGTCAGTGTAGTTGGCTTCTGCATGGTCTGTTCCTGCCAGATATTTCGTGGAACTCACTATGACATTTTTTTCCACTCCAATGAAGCAGACATCTGGATCCTTTAGTGAGCCTCTTGATCCCAGTGTGCAACCAAAGCCTTGTTGGCTCCGTGAATCTTTATGTTCTCATGTTACAGGATTCCCAAGGAAGAGGAGTAAGGCTATGGTTTCAGAATGTTAATTGATAACAGTTCTTGGCAACAGTGCTCTTCCTGGCTTTTCCTCCGTAACCTGCTTCTTCCACCCACAATAATAACATATATTCTTAATAGATTGGTACCAGTCTGGAGTTCTCTGTCATTCCCTCTCTCTTACACACACACATGTCCTTCATTCCTTTTTTCCTTGCTCTACTGATTATATTTAGGACTGTTTAACTTAATTCCTCCCTCCCTCCCTCCCTCCCTCTCCCTCCCTCCCTCTCTTCCTTCCTTCCTTCCTTCCCTCCCTCCCTTCTTTCCTTCTTTCTTTCAGACAGGGTCTCATTCTGTCACCCAGGCTAGAGTGCACTGGCATGATCTTGGCTCACTGCAACCCTTGCCTCCTGGGCTCAAGTGGTCCTCCCACCACCTCAACCTCCTGAGTAGCTGGGACCACAAGTATGCACCACCACATCTGGCTAATTTTTTATATTTTGTATAGAGATAGGGTTTCACCATGTTGCCCAGTCTGGTCTTGAACTCCTGGAGGCAAGTGACCTGCCCATCTCGGCCTCCCAAAGTGCTGGGATTGCAGGTGTGAGTCACCACACCCGGCCAAGACTGTTTAATTTTCTAATATTCGTTTCTAAGTAAATTCCCTGACCATTATAATGATGTTATCCTGGTTATTGACAGAATATTAATGGTTAAAATGTAAACTGTCAAAGTTAGGGAGGGATCTTATATCTCTCTTCATTAAAGAACTCTTTCCTTTAGACAATTGCCTTTAGATTTTATAGTAGAGTTGAATTTAGGCATGGGGTGGGGAAAAGCAGGAACCCTATAACGTAGGAAAATCCTAAAAACCCTGGAGTTTCTCTATGTAGCTTATCCTACACTTTGGGCACCATGAGGGAAATCTGTTGAGGGCTTCTAGCTGATTCTAGAATGTATGTTTCCTGCAAGGATTGCCTCCTGAGAAAGAGATGTCAATAAGATCACAATTATTTTGTTTTTAATCCTTAGTCTGTAGTAAGGCCGCATAGTCTTCTCATAATGTTGGAAAGTAAGCTGGGGGATCAGGAGGCCTACTATTTTATCCAGTATCCTACTACTCTTATCCAGATGATCTCCATATTTCTGGCCTTTACCTTCTCTGGGTCTCACTTTTCTTTCTTTCTTTCTTTCTTTCTTTCTTTCTTTCTTTCTTTCTTTCTTTCTTTCTTTCTTTCTTTCTTTCTTTCTTTCTTTCTTTCTTTCTCTCTCTCTCTCTCTCTCTCTCTCTCTCTCTCTCTCTCTCCCTCCCTCCCTCCCTCCCTCCCTCCCTCCCTCCCTCCCTTCCTTCCTTCCTTCCTTCCTTCCTTCCTTCCTTCCTTCCTTCCTTCCTTCCTTCCTTCCTTCCTTTCCTTTCTTTCCTTTCTTTCCTTTCTTTCTTTCTTTCTAAAATTGAGAGGGGTCTTGTTCTGTCACCTAGGCTGGAGTACAGCAGTATGATTATAGTTCACTGCAGCCTTGAACTCCTGAGCTCAAGGGATCCTCCTGCTTCAGCCTCCCAATGTATTGGGATTACAGGCATGAGCCACTGCACTGGGCCTGGTCTCACTCTTCTCATCTGTAAATTAAAGGGTCCGATTAGTCAGCTTTTAAAGTTCCTTCCAGCTTCAAATTGTTGTGATTCTGCATCCCTATCGATAGCCTAGAGACAATAATCTCTATCATTCTCATTCGAAGATTGAGTAATGCTAATGAAATGCCAAAAATAAAAACTTGTTGAGTTCCTTAGAAGAAAGATAGATTATTGAACTCCCACTTATTCAGAATGAGCAAGAAATGAGATATTTCAATTAATTCCATGTGTTGGTTAATGGAAATTGTTATGTACTACATATGGTTAACAAATATTTAGATAATTAAATATTATCTAAATATTTAGATATTTATATAATTAAATATTATCTAAATATTTAGATATTTATTCTAAAATACACAATAGAATTATAATAACTATAGTATAATTTTTGATTCAGTCTGTTACAGGGCCCTCACAACAGAATTCTGAACTCATAATCATTGTATGGCACTGCAGCTACAGATAAGATTGAGCTAAGTTAACAATATATAATTGTAGGCTGGTGCAGAGGTTCACGCCTGTAATCCCAGCACTTTTGGAGGCCAAGGCAGGCAGATCACTTGAGGTTGGGAGTTCAAGACCAGCTTGGCCAACATGGTGAAACCTCAGCTCTACTAAAAATACAAAAATTAGCTAGGTGTGGTGGCACATGTCTATAATCTCAGCTACTGGGGAGGCTGAGGCACAAGAATCGCTTGAACCCAGGG